TGTCAAAAAAGCGGACTTATCTGTAAGATTTTAGGGTACTCATATTGCTGTGCAGAGATATATGGCATCATTACCTCATACTGAAGAGAGCTAGCAAAGTCGTACAAATGGGTAAACTAAATAACACAATGCTAATTTTTCAGAGACCTCTCCCGAAACAACATTCGTGCCATAGACAGCCATACATTTCGATCGCTCAAACGACTCCGAACTTTGTTAGTTTGTACAAACCCCAGACTGAAATCACTGAGAACAAGTAGTTCATTTTCAGAAACCTTCGAAAAAATCACCTCCGCTCTGTGCCGAAAGGACTCGATGAAATTCAGCTGCTGAGACTTGACCTGTAAGAGCTATTACCTCGTTTAATCTCAAGTATGAATTTTGGGTCTTCTATAGGCGGCTCAACCTGATCTCAACCGTCGTCTCATCTGATCTAATTTCTTTATTGCGAGTACGGCACGTCGATCTCTCGAGAAATTTCATCAAAGAATGGCCGAAGCCGAAACAGCAGAACACGAATTTTACATCTGTCATCGAAAAATTGTGAGTTGGGAACTAACTTGTCCTTTTGGATTAGCAGTCGCGAGATGAACTACGCCAGTATCGCAAAATAATCGAGTTTCCAACTACGGAGATTTTCAAAATTCTCTTGTCGTTTCTGTTGATGGCCTAAGAATCTAAACTGATCTAAGTTCACATAGTACATCAATTTCGAATGGACAAAAACTGGTTGATAAACTTTGGTTATCAAGCTACTCATTCAGAGATCTCGCATCCAATCTTCTTTCATATCTTCCATCCGGGATCTTCTCATCGATGACCTCTCTGCAATTGATCAGATTATCCAAGAACAAAATAAAATCTATAGAGAGTCACGCTTTTCAACATCTAGACTTTTTGACATCGATGTAAGTTTCGCCGCCTTCGGTTGATCATGAAAGCTGAAAGAGCTAATTTTAGTGATTTGTCAAAGAATCTTGTTCGTTCCGTGTCATCGTTGGCATTCCACAACTTGCGCTCTTTGGTCAATCTATCTTTGGCTAAGAACGAAATCTCCAGGTAACTCGAACACTTTTCTGGTCATTTCTTAAGTTTTTTTCTGGAATGCTTGATTAAACGCAAATTGTTTCAGACTTGAAGATGGTGTATTTTTTGGTTGTGGTTCATTGGCTTTGCTCAACATCTCAAGAAATCATGTTCGTGCGATTTCGGATGAATGGCTTTTCGGGCTGACTGGCCTTCATCAGTTGTGAGTTTGCTTTGTATAAAAGAAGAATTGAAAAAAATTCGCGATTGGAGATTGAAACTGTATGTCTAAAGATGCTTCATTCGATCATGTCTCCACAACAATAGTGAATAAGAATTTTTTTATAGAGATCTGTCACATAATCATATCTCGTCATTCGATGCGAATGCCTGGAAACAGTGCCCTGATCTGAGGTGCGTGAACCTTCGGCAAATTATTTTCCTCTACCCACTTCAACACTATTTCCGACACTTTTGAGTAATATGGAGCTTAAATAATACTTATTTCAGATGGCTGTCCCTGCACAACAATCA